TGCCGCGGCGGAGCCCGCGCCCTGCCCCGCGTGCCGCGCAGCCACGAGCCGCCCACGCAGCCCCCGCACGTGGCCGCACCGGCCCCAGCTCGGGGTCCACAGCGGCGCCTCGTCCCTGCGCCCCCCGCTGCGTGGGCCCTGCCTGGAGCCTGCGTGGGTCACAGCATGTGCCCAGGATGTGCGGGACGCAGGGGCGCGGTGAGCAGAGCCCGCGGCACCGCGCACGTTGTCCTGCCGGGGGATCCCATGTGCCGGCCTTGCGCCCATGCTTCGGTGGAGAGCACAGCCTAGTGCCAGGGCGAGCTGGGCTCCGGGATGGGTTTGCTGCTCCCAGGGTGCCTTCTGTGCAGGGAGGGGTTCCCAGGATAGTCAGTGGTGGGTAGTGGTGTGTCCTGTCCCTGGAAATGCAGGAGCAGGTTGTGTGTTGGCCTGCACACCTGGGGAGACGTTTGGGCAGCGCTGCGTGAGGCCTGGCCCAGCCGTGCTGTCCTGTCCAAGACTTGCTCCTCACCCAAATGACGCTTTTCCCATCTTTGGGAATGTGCTTAGGGCAACAGTAGCACTTGAGGAAAAGCCCTTTCCAGGTGCTCTGAGTTGATGTAAAAGAGGGAGCAACAGTTTGGAAGAATGTAAGGGGGAACATAAAAATGGAACCTTTTCAATAAAAGTTTGTTATATATGGTTGTTATAAGTTGTTATCAGTACCAAAAAGTTCACCAAACTCCCTAGTTTTGGCCCCAGTGCACACAAAGTGGGACATGAACAGAGCCGGACACAAGCCTGGCCGCTGCCCTACTCGCGTTCACCTTTGCCTCCTCTTGGCATTGTTTGTGTCCCAGCCCTTCCCGCCTCCAAGCCATCCTTCACCTGCCCAGAGGCCTCCAGAGCAGCAGCAGGATCCATCCCTCTGGGATGCACGGGGCAATGGGGCCTTGCAAAGTGCTCAAGGGCAGCACAGTGGGTCCTCAAATAGGGATCATGGATGGACGGGCTGGAGCCGGTGCGTTTCCCACGCTGGTGCCTGGGATTTCTGTCCTCCATCGCATTTTCAGCTCGGTTCACAACCGGTTCCTAGTTCCGTACGCTGGCTGCTCGCTGCAGTTCCTCCTCCGATGAAGCTGCTCGCTGCCTGTCTGCTGTTGCTCGTCCCGCCACGGTGCATGACGGTGCCTGCCGCTCCTGCGGGGATGGGCAGGTCCCGCTGCGCTCCAGGTCGATGCTTCCCGGGGAAGGTAACTCCATATCCCGCAGAGCCTGGCTGTGCGCGAGGAGAGCGCAGTGCCCACTGGGAGGGCGCTGCTGGGCACACGGGTGCTGGAATTCCCAGGAAATGAACTCCCCGTGGCAAGGAGGCAGCACAGGAGCTGCAGGCCCGCAGGGCTCCTCGGCCGAGCCGCGTTTCGTTGCACGCTCGCTCGCAGCCCGCGCTCCCTGTGACGTGCGGCGGGGTCGCGCAATGCTCTCCTGGCCCCCACGCTGGCCCAGGAAGGCTGTGAAGGTGACTCGAAGAGGTGACTTCTAATGAATTACAGCTTTTGCAAGGTGGGAAGGTTTATGTTTCTGGGAGCAGGGCCTGTGCTTGTTGCTCCGCTCTACCTTCCGAGCAGGTTGGTACCAGCCATGTTTGGGTCCTCCTTTGGCAAATGGAACCTGTGACTTGGATGCAAGGTGCAGCCTGGTCCTGGAGTGGGGATAGGTTTGGGTTGAGGTTTTGCTCTCTGCTAAGCAGGACTGTTGCTGAGGTCATTCACAGACCTGCTGCTGCTCTCCACTGGCGGCTTTACGGGTGCCGCGCTTCCAGGCTCGGTGTCTCGGCTCTGGTATGGATCAACAGCAAGAAAAGCTTTGGATCTCGTGCCAGGCGCTTGGCGGAGCTGCCGCTGTGTCGCACCTTGAGGAATCGCAGCCACGTCGCGGGTCTGCTGGCCCGTCGTGGTGCGAGGCCACCCAGCGTCCCGGCGCGCGGCTCCTCCAGCCTGCCCCGTTATTTCCTCCTTTGGAGTGTCACTTTGCCTTTGGGAAACGGCTTTAAGCTGGGTAATACCAATGGGGGAGAGACCAGGGGCTGAGCGTTGTGTCAGGGCAGGTTCACCTAGGACTTCCCCTCTCTGTGACTCATGGGCCAAGGCAGCATCCAGACGCAAATCGGGACCCTGTTGCTCTCAGATTTCCAAGGCGTTGGCTCCTTTTCTGTTGCCTGCCATGTTATTTCATTCCTCTTTTGGAAAGAAGAACTAGCCTAAACTGAACCTCCAACTGCAGACCAGCAGCATCAGCAGAGCCGTGTCCTCCGCAGAGGGCAAAGGCCCCTGGGGGCGGATGGGGACCGGGATGCAGGCGGGTCCTGTCTGGGCTCGGCACCTCATCCAACCTCGGGAGCAGTCGTGTCCTCCCTGAAGGTGCCTCTCTCCCTCCCTTTCTTCTTCCTCTATGTTTGTCCTCCAGCTGGTCCCTAACACTAGTCCCGAATGTTTCTGCCTTGACACTGGCACATAGCTCCCTGCTTGCCACCTTCTGAGGTGCTGACAAATTTCCTTTATTTATTCTATAGTGTCAGTAGTCCTTATGCTATTTATAGGCTGTGATCACGTCCCTCCTGAGATGCTTGCGGGATAAATTTAGCCCCCTGAGCTCCTCATCGCCGTATGTCTTCACGTCCAGCCCTGGCCGCCTTTCGCTGCCTTCCTCGCAGCGAATGGGCGCCAGCCGAGCACGGACCGCAGCGGTGGGTGACTCACTTTCCCTGCTTATCCGGGGAGACGTCATGTCGAATGCATCCTGCTCGCGGGCCGGCCAGCCCGTCCCAACACCCACTCGCAGAGGCCGCCGGGCGGGAGGGCGGGCGGAGGGCGCAGGGATGGGGGTGCGGGTGCCGTTCGGAGCCGTCGGGATGTGGTGAGCGGGCGGACGCAGGGAGCGTGCAGCTCCGGAGCTGCAGCCTTGGCTTCCTGCCACGGGGCTGGAGACGTCCGGGGAACCCCTCATCCCGCCCCGCTCCTCTCCAGGGAGGCCCCAGGGCGCCAAGGGATGAGTTTCCCCAGGTGTTTCATACCCCCACGCGGAGTGTCCTTGAAAGGAGCATTTCCAAGTGCTCCGCTCTCCTGCGGAGTGTTTGCAAGCCAGCTAGAGGGCAAGGGGGGTGTATTGCTTCTGTCATCGAGGCTGGAGCCTACCCAGCAGACAGAAATGAGTCAACAGTCCCCAAAGTTGATATAAATTGGGTTTTTGTAGCTGGGGTTTGAGCTGTTCTCTGTTGGGAACCAAGTCCTGTGTTCTCCAGTGAGCCGTGAGTGGGAAGGTGGGAGCTGTGGCTCGGGGGGCTCTGCCTCTGGTCTCAGCTGAGCCCTTAGTTCACCTGGAAAGGCCGTGGGTGGTACCTGGCAGGGAGAGGGGTGTTTGTTCTGCTCGTCCGCTGGCATGGCTGGAAATGAGTCCTCAGAGAAGCTGGAAGCTGCCGAGTGGGAGCAGGAGCAGCGGGGCTGGACACGAGGACGGAGCGGGGCACCGATCCCCGCCAGCACCAGAGTGCAGCAGCTGGACTGACCCTGCTCATCCGCCCAATCCCCGGGCCGAGGCTGAGCTTCTCCCCTGCTAGTCCGGGGCATCCAGCAATACAGTCGGAACTAGCAGAATTCATTGATTTCCTGCCAGACAAGTGGCTCAGTTAATCGGTGTGTCCTGCTTAATCTTGGCAAATGAAATGTTGTCGGCTCCCTGCTAAAGGCTGCTCTGGGCAGCAGGGACAGACATCCATCTGCAGCCTGCCAAGGAGCCCCCCTCCTCTTCCTCAGCCCTTGGTGTGTGCTGCTCCTGCCAGAGCCACATTCCTGATGTGTAAGAAATCCGGGCTAAAGTCCTAGCGAAGGCGGAAACTTTCTTCCAGAAAAGGGCATGCTGCTGGATTTGAGCATTGAGACTTGCCCTAACCTCTTTGCTTTTTCTTCCTGCCTCCCCCAGGCTCCCGGCACCTCTCCAGCCCCAATGAACTGCCAAGAGAATGAGTATTTGGATGAGCACAGGAAGTGCGTCCTGTGCAGGACCTGTATGCCTGGTCAGGAGCTTTCCAAGGTAATTTTCCTGTGCCATAAGGGACAGAAATCATCAAGCACCAAGGCTGTCGTGGTGTTAGATGGATTATCTGCTAAGCTTCATTAGGAAAGACAATCTTAGACCCCAGTGTTTCCAGCAGAGCAGGCTTGGTAGCAAGAGTAGACGGGCAGCTCTGCCCATCACCATGGTGGGCACTGGGTAGGAGGGTGAGCGGGTGGATGGAACAAGCAAGGAGGGACTTCAGTAGGATGCCCAGGAGCCTCCTCCTTTCACTGCTTGCCCCCAAGGCAGGAATGTCATTTCCCTCTCTGTCACTTTGGGACCTGAAGTGACTTCCACCCCACCATGAACCCGACCTTGTGTCCTGCAGGATTGCGGTGATGGTGGCGGGGGCGATGCACAGTGCGTTGCTTGCCCTCCCAGGAAGTTTAAGGACAGCTGGGGACATCACGGCTGCAAACCCTGTCTGTCTTGCACCCTCATCAATCGTGTCCAGAAATCCAACTGCACGGCGACAGCCAATGCTGTGTGCGGGGAATGCCTGCCGGGGTGAGTGGCTCTCGGCACGCGTTGCGGCGGGCGGGAGCGAGTGGGTTGCTGGGCAGAGCGGGCGCTTGGCCCAGGCCACTTGTCGTGTGGCATTCAGGAGCTGGGCGGTCCTCAGTTGTCCTCTGCAGACTCTGCTAATGACAGGCAAATCTCACCCATCAAATGCCCCCCTTCTACCTCTGAAGAAGACAACCTGAGAGCTCCTATAAATGAGCAATGAAGGAATATTCCTTCCAGGCCTAAATTATGACTGTGGACACCAGGATGGCTAAGGCCCAGGAAATGTGTGTGAACTGCTGCTACTGCTAGCCTCCAAGGAGGGCAATGGAGACCAAGCCTAGAAAAATGAGTTGCTGTGGTCAAGCAGTTGTATGGAGGTAGCTGTGCTTTCTGTGCCTGTTCATTTTATGTTATTTTTTTAGAAAGTTACTGAATGAGTATGGTAGTGTTGGCCTGTGACATGCCATGGAGCTGTAGACCATAACTGACGAGGGATGAGTTTTGTGGCAAAGGGATGAATGTCAGAGCCCGGGGTACTTGGGTCTCTGCTCAGCCACACTTGCTGGCTGGAGTTCTATGACTTTGTGGAGTTGTTGGTCACTACCAGCCTCGTCCAGCAAGACATGGAGCTGTCCCAAAGTGATTCCTGGCAGAGGTGGTTATAGCTATGAAAAAGTAGGTCTGAATTTGGCCAGCATTTGAAATGGACATTGTGCTTTGCAGCTTCTCAGCATGCTGTGCACCAGGGCGGGTGGATCAGTTTTCTCTGAGCTGCCTCCTGGCAAATGAAGCAGCGGGCTTTTCCAAGCAGCGCTGGGCCGGGCTTTAAGCCGGGCAGCTCTGGAGCCACTGGGCTGACGGAGCTGGTGGGTCCCTCGGGCTGACAGGGCCGATGGGTCCCTCGCGCTGACATGCTCTGTGCTTCGTTGGCAGGTTCTACCGAAAGGCCCGGATCAGCGGGCAGCTCGACTGGGAGTGCATCCCTTGCACCAAGCAGACGCCCTCCTCCGAGCCGCAGTGTAGGTAGCCGGGGCTCTGAGCGCCCGCAGGGCGCCGAGCTGCTCGCGGGGCCCGGGGCGGTGAGGACTTCCTGGCGCAGGTTCATGGTGCGGGTTCACTCAGCATCCGTTGCTGGCCGTGGCTGCTTCAAGGACAGACACAACCTCGAACGTGCATTTGCACTGTTCTTTGACTGGTTTTCCTCATTGGCCTCACCAGCTTAATTAGCTGGTGCAAACACCAAAACACTGCCCTGTGGAGACATGCTGGAGGAAGCGTATTCCTTATACATAAAGAAGAAAGGGCAGGGAGAGGAGTGGCCTGATGTGTCAGGAAGAAGTTCCAGTGTTTTGTGACTGGTGTGTTTGCAGGTCGGTCTAGAATAAACCTGGTGAAGGTAGCGGTTCCCACTGTACCACCACAAGACACAGCCCTTCTTGCACTGACCAGCAGTGCCCTGGTCATCATCGTACTGGTACTTCTGGCACTCTCCATCATCTACTGCAAACGGTTTTGGAAGAGCCAGTGTCAGCGAGGTGAGTCAGTGTGTTCAATACTCCTCTGTTCCTTCATCCTTTGCCTTCTCCTGCTTACACCTTCTTCACTCTTCCCTCGTTGTGTAGAGCATTGCCTTTAGCACTGCTTTAGCTGAAGCACGGAGTGAAACAAATCTTCCTCTGCTCACAGAGGATAAATACCTCATCATGCCTTTTCCATCTATGGGGGTCTCTCTCTTCATTTTTCTGGCATGAGAGAGCCTTTCTCCTCCCTTGTACTATAATTGGTAGGAGACCGTGCCATGCTTTCACTAGCAAAATTGGCATTTTTCCCTTCCTAGAGTTTCTTAAGGGCAGACTGAGTATGAAGCTTTTGGCAGGGCAGGACCAGAGCAGCAGGAATTGCCAAGGCAAAGGAGGGATGTGCTTGATAGGAGGGCTGGGGTACACTGGCATCCCTCAAGCAGAACACCAGCGTGCCGGCTTCCCCGGCTCCTTGCAGGCAGACATACCACATAACTGAGGCCATTCTAGGGAAATAAGCCAAGCCTTCGCTCAGACTGGTTCTTCTCTATCTTCCAAGTGTTCCTAAGGACGCAGAACTTCTCGAGCCAGCGAGCGATGTTCCCCGGCTCAGCTGCGCCCGGCAGATTTCTGTGCGAAGAACAGATGTCTGGTCCCTGCTGCCTGGGCGTGAAGAACCTGAGCCCCTGCTACAGGCAGGCAGAAGGTAACTGCCCTTCTTAGGGGATGGTTGTAGAGGGCGAAGGAGGAGTCATGCCTGGCTCTAGCCCACACAGTCCTGAGATATGTTGAGTTTCTGTTAGGAAGGAAGGAGCTGGAAGGTATCAAAGTTCTACCAAAATGTTGCATTTTCTCGCAATGCCAGTTCCTTCTAGATTCAGCCCTGCTGTGACCCCTCTTTAGCGCAGAACTCGGTGTGATGGCACCACAGAACTCGGTGCCATCAGGGGTCTTCTATGGGGCCTCTGTGCCAAGAAATCCCCCCGAGTTCCACTGCAAAACGCCCAGGAAAGGTGCAACATTTTGAAACTTCTAACAGTTTTTGACAGATTTTGTGCCAGCAGTGGAAATCCATCTGTCTAGTAGCTTTGCATCTAGTTCCAGTCAACACCTGCTGTTGCTGTAGCCCTAGGAGTGAGTCTGACTGGGCTTAGGGAAAGGTGTGAGCATTGATTGTCCAGCAGTGGGAGGCTGCAATGAAACTCTGGCCACTTAGAGAGGGCCCTTTGTCCCTGTGTGGGGAGATGAGACGTAGGGGATGGGCTGGGAGACCTCTGAAAAGGGGCAAGTGAAGCGGAGGAAGGGGAACCCAAACGTTCCTGAGCTGCAAAGGTGTTTGCTTTCAGGCCCGGTGGAAGCAGTTCAGTTCATTTCGGATGGAGAAGCCGTTGGTCTGCAACTGCCAGCTCTGCAGCCGGAGCTGGAATTGACGCAGGTGACAGCCCTGGGCACCGCTCCCAAGGCCCAACTGGTGAGGAGCGTCCTGGAGACTCAGCCCCTCATCAGGAACTCAGGCTGCAGCGACTGCGTGGCGGGGCCCCTGCCTCCCTGCGAGGCCCGGCCGGGCCCGGCCGCGGTGCCGGAGGTGGCCCCGCTCTCCTCGTGCGCCTCGGAGATGCAGCACAAGTGGCCCCACGCGCCGGTGGAGTGCACGGAGCTCGACCTGCAGAAGTTCTCCACCCAGACAGACTTCGTGGGCAGCGAGAGGTCGGAGGATGCCGTGAGCCGGGCGGCGCGGAGAATGCCCAAAGAGAACCACGGCGGAGCACGAGAGGCGAGGAACGGACTCACGGACCCGACAAGAGCCTCAGCCTTCCTGAGCCCCACTGCTGAAAGGAGGGAGCAGTCCGTAAGTTCCTGCAGTCTCTCGTCCTCTCGGAAGCTGCTGGCCAACTCCTACACAGGAGGCTGGAGCTGCAGGCAGAGCAGGGATGAAGGCTCGTAGTAAGGGAAGATGATACCTAGGACTGATAACTAGCAGAGCGATTAGCCACATGTTCACTGGTGTGTTTGGGAGCAGGTCAGGCTCATTTTCTGTGGGTCATCCCGCAGAATGTCTGCCTGAATAAAAGAATTGTGTTTTTATTGGTGAACAGTTTTATATTTTGATTGTTTGGGGTTTTTTTTGTGTGTGATGTGGCTGTGACCGGGCACTAAAGGTGGCATAAGGCTACAGCACTCAGAGCAGTCCCATTCAGATACTCGAGTCAGTTTATTGAATACATAGCACAGACATATTCTGGATATGAGTAACTGGTGTGCTCTTGAGAGATTCTTGTACTCCTGCCCATCTAGAGCACTGTCCTGGCACTACAAGGCTGTGACTCCTGTTCTGTATCAGCCACTTTGAAATGACCCAAATGACTAACATAAATGCCTTTGTTCACCAGCATTTTCTGAACCTCATTTAACAGCATAGCTCCAAGTCATGATTTATGGAAGCAGTTTGCTAGGAGGCCCTGGAGGAGGTTGTTAGCCGAGATGGTAACGCTCAGCAGACAAGTGTCCTTTATACTTCTGAGAAGGTCCTAGGATCGCTGGCAATCTGAGTTGTTGCTCATCAGATGGTCTCCAACTCGAGGTCTTTATTTTGCCAGGTGAATGATGCCCAGAGCCTTGTGACTCAGATCAGCAGCACTACCAAGGGTAAGTGTCTTTCCAGACCCATCTGTTTCATCAGGTCCTTGGGGTATCTGCGGGAGGCAAGCTCCATGGTGGGCCTCTGGAGGAGCTCCTTCCCGTGCTGGGGAGCCAGTCTTCACAGAGGTTTCTGTGACACAAGCTGGAAGGGCCCATGGGTGGGTGGTGGAGGGATGCTTGGCTCTTAGTTGTTGCCATCATCCGCAGGCCTGGGAACAGCTCCATGTTGCTAGGCTCTGAAGGTAGCAGTGGAGATACTTGCCATGGCAGAATGTGTTTCACCCACTGGGCGAGGGCAGGGACGGGGGCTCTGTCGCAGCTGCTCGGTTTATTATCCCAGCTGGATAAGTTGATTTCTAACCACACTTTGCTGTGCTGCCCCCAGGTCTCCCAGTAGCAGAGCTGCCCCATTCCTTGGTGCAGTCGCTTGCCTTCTTGCTAGACCCTTCCTTGAACGGGGTGAAGAATTTCAGCCACGTGGCACTGGAGCTGGGAGTCACCCCCCAGCTGTTGGGAAGGATATCTGGTTTTGAGCAGCTCGTCACCCACTTCGCCTACTCAGGAGACACCGTCACCATTCCTGTCCTGGCCCAAGCTCTGCAGCGGCTCCAGCGGTTCGATGCCTTGCTCCTGCTCTGCGATCACTTTGCTCTCAGCCGCCAGTGATAAGAGGAGACAGGGAAGGGACAGAGGAAGCTCCAAGCACTGTCTTTACTGGTAGAGGAGAGTCTTTGATAGGACCGTGGTCACATAATCCCTTCAGTGTGCCTGTGGTGATTATGTGGAGATGGTCTTTGCATCATGCAACGGAAGCACGTGAGCAGGAGCCTCCCTCCAAGGAGAAGAGCAGAGGAGGTGACTGCATCACCCGCCCTCACAACCTGCACCTCTGCCCGTGCGGGGGTTGTGAGGGTCTTCTCAGGCCCCTCCAGAATCATTTCTCTTCTTGTATTTACATTCTTGTCCAGAAACCGAGTGGCCTCACAGCTGCTGTGCCGCTGCTCTGCGGCCATGGTGTGCAATGTTCTTTGTATGTTGTTAGCCCCGTAGGCCTCTGGTCATTTCTTTAAGGCTCCTCGGGCACATTTGGTGCCGGGGTCTGGTGTTTTGGGCAGCCTTTGAGCTGCCCTTGCTTTGGCAATGGAACAAAATCCTCAGGAGCTGCCCAGGAGGAGGGTCCTCAGGTGCCTTCCCTGGCACCAAGAGCTGACTGCCCCTCGCCTGGCACAGCCTCCAGGCCCAACAACCACTTCTTCCCCATTCCAGCTTTTCAGATGTTGGACCTTCTTCATTTGGCCAATACTGTGTTTTCTTGAGTTCCTGTTGCCACTTTTTGAGTTTACTTTTTGTTTGTTCCTTCCTCCATGCAGAGCTCTCGGAGGAGACCCCCCCGTGTGACTGTGACTGCTGTGGCAGAGAGGCCGGGCGTTCGGTTTGCGTGCCACCCCACAGCAAGGTCCATTTATGCCACTTCCCTCTTGTGAAACGGTGCGGTTTTCTTAGATGGCTTTTGGCGTGAGCACCGGAATTTGTAGATAAAAGTTCTTAAGGTTTGATGCTGTGCGACTCCCCGCCGGGCTCGCGGAGTCTGTGCTGCCTGCCCGAGTCCTGCCCAGCGCCTCGCGCTGCGGGCGGCAGGCCCATGCCGCGGGAGAGGACGGAGGTTTGGGCTCCGCCAGCCGCCCCAGGGCCGCCGCGGCGCAGGACGCGGTCGGGATAGCCCCGGGTCGGGACAGCCCCGGGCCGGGACGGCACCGCTCGTGCTCACCAGGATGTTTGCGCGGCGCCCGCGCGGGGAGCGGCCGTGCGGGGGAGGAGGCACGCGGGCGCCGCAGGGAGCGCGGCCAGCGCGCGGCCCCGCGGATTCCTGTCGCGCCAAGGTTGTCGCGCTGCAGCTGCTCCCGTCCCGGCGGGCAGCCCCGCGCACGGGGTCCCCGTGGGGCATCTGGGGGCGTTCTGGAGCGCGCGGCGCATCCGTGGAGTGCGCGGGAAGCGCTGCCCCGCACTGCCCTTTCCAAAGCCCAGGTCTTCCCGGGCTCACGCTTTGCAGCCTGGCCCGGGGCTCCGCGGCTCTCGCTCCCCGCTTGGCCCATCGAGCGTTTGCGGAAGAATTTGCAGAGTGACAGCAGGCAGGCTTGATGGTTTTGTGTACGGTTTGTTTGGGACAGGGAGGCCTTGTTTCAATTAGTAATGTAGCTACATCAATTAAATATTTCAAATCTTTGTGGGCACGTTTATTTGCTTCCAACAGGAATTAAGATAAATTCAATGCAGGCATTCAGCTCTGCGTAAGAATTCACACAGCTTATCTAATCAGTTGGCTTTGAACTCAAAGGCAGCCAGGTGAGTTTTCCGGCCGGTCCCTGTGCACATGCGTTCCAGGTGCCACTGGTGGCAGGTTCAAAGTCGCCTCCGCCGGCCCCGCGTCGCTGCCGTGGCTCGAGCCCTGCACGGCAGCTCCCTGCTCTCTGCCTGCGTCTTCCCGCGGGCAGGACCACGGGAAGGGGAGCTCGTGGCGGCGGGGGGAGCGCGGGGCACACGCTGAGGACACCTCCCGTGCACAGACACCAGCTCCTGGTGCACGGTCCAGTTTTGTCCGTGCTCCGGAGCTTGGTGAACAGTTGGGTTGATGGGTAGACTCTGGAAAGTAAAAGGTTTTATTTTTCTTTCCTTAGAGAAATCAACCCCATTCCCTTTATAGTTTTTAATTTATAGTTTTTCAGCCGTTTGGTGTCTGAACAAGTTAGTTTTGCTTGGAGAGGCCCTGCCTGGAGGAGATGCTGCTGTGCGTGGTCCGCCCGTGCAGATGCGCTACGTGCTCCTGGCCGGCAGCTCCGCGGCAGCACCAGGCAGGGAGGTTTTTAGCCAAGTTCAAGTGTTTTTTACCTTCCTTCGGCTGCCCGGGGCCCGCGCAGCCTCCGCGGGACAGGCTGGTCCCATCCGTGCGGAGCCGCAGGCCGCCTCGCGCGTTGGCCGGGTACGAAGCTGCCCGCACGCACGGCTGCCTTTGCAAGGGCCACCGCTTCGGGAGGTGGCCTTGGCTTTTAGGTCCCACCAAGGGACACCTGGGCCCGGTGCAGAGCCTGCAGCACAGGTCTAGCATGGAAAAGCTGCCAGTCCTGGAGCGGGGGAACTTGAATTTCTTTAGCTGGGAACCAGTTGAATTTATACTTGACTCTTGTTTATCCTTTTTTGTAGTTTTTCAGCATGGTGAGGGGAGTGTAAGGAAGGAAACTCCCACGGGGCTGAACTTTGTTTTGGCCTCGGGAAGGTGTTTGGGCTGAGCAGGCACCGCTCAAAAGAACAAAGAGCTGAGAGAAGGGAGATGATGCAGCGTCTGTGCAGCCTCCTGCTGGGAATGAGCAAGGGAAACACTCCTATGCTTTTACAGGTGACTGTTGTTACCAATACTGTCTAGTTTATGGAAGAATTTATGTGGTATAATATGAGTTTAGGTTCAGTCCTTTTCTGAAAAGCCCTTAAGCACGCTCCTAACACTAGGCAAATGCTTAAGTCCCGTTGAGATGAACAAGTGCATCCTTGGTGCTGTTCTTGAGCAGGATGCTCAAAGAAGTTGTGCCTCTGACTTGCTATTGCACAAGCAGCTAGGACTGAGGGAAACTCAGTTTTACCGGCGTGGGCGCACTGAACTTCTCGGAAGAATCTGCAAGTGTTGGGGGAAAATGCTGTGTGTTTTAGATCACTTAACAATACAGATTCTGGTGCTTTTCTTGAAAAAAATAAAACAAAAAAATATAGTCATGGTTTACTCACGGAATACATTGTATTTTTTACAGGGGATGTTACTTTTCTTCTAAGGTTGTGATAGGTTATTTATATTTTTGTAAGCGGTGTGTTCTTGGTGTTGTAACGCTGACATGCAGCCCTTGCCGCTGCTCCTGGGTCTGCAGGAGCAGCTGACGTCGGAGCGGGGTCCCATGTGCCCAGCGGGGTCCTGTGTGCCCGTGGAGCCCTGCACAGCCTCGCGTGCGGCTCAGGAGCGCGGCGCCCCGCGTGCCCGGCGGGGCTGCACGGGGTCCCGTGCGCRGCTCAGGAGCGCGGCGCCCCGCGTGCCCGGCGGGGCTGCACGGGGTCCCGTGCGCGGCTCAGGAGCGCGGCGCCGGCCGCCCGCTGCTCTCACTGCCCTTCGCTGTCCCCAAGGCCCCGTTCCCGGTACGTGGGAGCGGGGCCAGCTGCTTTTGGGGCGCAGCAACGCGGCGCCCCGCGTGCCCGGCGGGGCTGCACGGGGTCCCGTGCGCGGCTCAGGAGCGCGGCGCCGGCCGCCCGCTGCTCTCACTGCCCTTCGCTGTCCCCAAGGCCCCGTTCCCGGTACGTGGGAGCGGGGCCAGCTGCTTTTGGGGCGCAGCAACCGCGTCGCTTGTGGTGACTGCTCAAGCTCTTGAGCCTGGTCTGCTCTTTAGAGTAATTACTGGAGAGAGGGATATCAGTTTTTTCTAATTAAAAGATACCTGTCCCCCCTGCAGCGTGTGTTGTGGGTGCTTATTCGTGTCCGTCACTGCAGCGGCTGCAGCAATGGCCCGGCCCCACTCGCCGGCAGCCCTGCGCGCTTCCCACCCGGGGCCTCGTGGCTCTGGGGGGCACGGGCTCTGTCCCCTCCATGCTCTCGTCGGCCTGGGAGTTTAATGAGGGAAAACCCTGCAGCCTGCAGGAGACCCAGCCCCGGAGCAGGACCGATAAGCAGGGCCCTGCGGTGCCTGCTGCGCTGCAGCCGCTGCCACCTCCTTGCGGGAGCCTCCGGCCTCGTTCCCCGCTCCCCAGCTGAGCCGTGGAGCCATGGACACGGTACTGCGTGGAAAAGGGAGAGCGTCTCTATGTCGATGCTGGCGCCTGCCAACAGGTCCAGGAAATGCCATATGCTACAAGGGCATGGGAAAATCAGGCCCTGATTCCTGTGAGCCTCTCCAAGGCTTGTTTTACATTTATAACCTCAATGCAAGAGATGCCAGTGCTACATCCCAGCTCAGGAGGACACTAAACCTTCCACATCAGCCCAGAGCCGTTGAGGCTATTGCAGCTTATGGTTAACTTGAGTGTGCAGTTCTGCTTGCTCTCACGTAGTCTACCATCACCCAATGATCACAGTGTGCAAACTGCTCCCCTCTTTAAAAACTCAGGTCCTCTGCCATCAGTGTGTTTGAATCGTCCTCGTTTCATACCAGAGAACCAGCCCTTATACTTTAACTCTTGCCTAAGAGGCTTCACCAATGCACAGCTTGATCTGGAAAGTTTTATATAACATCTAAGAAGTGAAACCCAGCCTTTGTTTAAGGGAAATTAAACCCCAGCACAGCAGAGCCTTGCCCATAGGTTATTAAACTACTAAAACCTGGCTACCACATGTGGTTTGGGGCAAGATCTGCAGTGCAGCTTGTGCCACTGCTGATGATCTGCGCGTGGAGGAGGACGACGCAGGAAAGCTCTGAGTTTCAGGCCTGCAGTCACTGCGTTGCGGCTGTGCAGGAGGCATCAAGTTTCACCCCTGAAGTGTTTCATTAATCTAGCAGTGCTGGTGCTGTTTGCTTCCATTTATACATCCTCAAGCCTAGATGCCATAAGAATATTTATAAACCAGAAATTCTAGAAAAAATTCCATTGTAGATGCAATCTGGGGCCTGGGCTTAAAACCAAGCTCAGCTTTATGTCTAAATTTGTCCCTTAGGCAGCTGGCTTGGGGACCAAACCTGGTGAGCTGGGTGAAAGGCTGGCATGGTCACAAGATGGTCTAGGCTTGAGATTAGTGCGAAGCTGGAGAAGGTGGTGCAGAATGGTCGTGGCTGGGAGCACGGGAAGACCCCACAGTCTCAAGGGCTTCCTCTGAAGCTCATCTGTGAATCAAAGCAGCTTTTTGCCCCAGGCTGATGGAGTTGGTGATTTGGGAAGTCCCTTCCTACTGTGGAGGTGACCAAACCAGCTGCTATTGCTGCTTCTCCAGCATCCGGGTGAAGGTGAGGGCAGGAGAAGCTGTGAGCGGGCAGTGCTGAGCCCTGTCAACTGGCATACAAACCAGAAACCTGAGGAGCTGGGGGACCCCTCGTGCGAGGGAGAGCCCCAAGCCCGGGAATCTCTTCTCCTGGCCTCACCATAGGTTGGCGTTGGCCATGTCGCTGGCGGAGCTGGCTCGCCTCCCAGCGCTGCAGACGGGCTGCAGGGCGCAAGGGGACCCGTCCCGCGCGGAGCCGGAGCCAGGGCCCTGCTGGCCGCGGCGCAGGGCGGCTCTGCGCCCTCCGGCCGGAGCAGCCCGCGGTGCTTTCAGCAGGGGAATTCACAGGGTGTTGTCCTCCCGCCTGCTCTGCCCGGGACCTGGCAGAAGAGAGGGATTCTAATGAGCCGTGGCACGAGGAATTCAAAACATGCATTAATTTCAAAATTCCCCCCTTACTTGAGCGTACCTGAGAGGTAAGCAGCATGTAGCAGAGAGGCCCTTTCTGATGGCAGCTGTTCTTCCTGGCAGTCAATACCCACAGAAAACACCAGTTCTGCCTGAAAATGCTACAAATCATCCTGCAAAGAGCAATCCTGCCTGAGCCCCAGGACCATGAAGGTCGATAGAAAGCCAGGTGAAGCCCCAGTGAGCAGAGATGT